TTTAAATATCTAAATATCCCAAGGCCAGAAACATTGATAGATCCTGGAAACTATAAATCTCTTGAGATCTGCATGAAATACAACTTTCATCAACCACTCCAATCCAAATATGTATCTTCCATACTTGTCTTACTTCCAACCAAACTCCAATGATCTCCTGGTCTAACCCTAAACATTGCTCTTACTCCTATTATTACATATCAATTTAACATGTAACAATATTCTTTTATAGCAATCTACAAAATGAGAAATAAGGTTTACAATGATAGAGGGCGCTAGAAACCCTCTAATGGCTAAATAGTCAACGTTCAATTATCATTGTTCGATGTGCCATAATAAATATCCCCTTAGCAACCAAAATACAAACAACATGCAAAGCTATTAAACACTCAAGTACTATCATAAGCACTTATTTTCTATGCTCCCTATAATTCTCACTGAACTCGGTCCTGATCCAAGACCTATACTCATCACATAAATTACAGCGTAACCCTAATCCTGGGACCAACTATTAGCGCGCACACACTACACCCAATTTTTGTACCGCACTCAATTACTAGTAATTAGTGTACATAACCATGTACTACAATGTAAATGCATATATAACAAATCATAACGCTAAGTATCACACATTTTAACATTAAATGCTCGCTTTCACTATAATCATATCAACCCACATGATACATCATAATAATCACTGAAATTGTTCTGACACCATCCACATGTACATAACAAATATTTAACATAACAATATCAATATTTACTAATCATAAAAGTGGTTCATGTTTGGTCAACTCACCTGTAAGACGGACAAGCAAAGAGTGCCTGCTTGTCTCAGCACTCCGCCCTCTACAGGTTACAGGGTAACTTCCTAACCCCTTACAGTATAAAGATTATTTATATGTGATAGTGAAATAAAGGGCTAATTAAAAGCGTGGCTAATAAAGGTAAATCCCTCTTAAAATTTAAGTACGCTTTAATATAAGTTCGTTGAGTAATTGTTTGTAATCATCAATAAATAATGATACTGTGTCTATTTAAACAAAAATGTTCAACAAGAGAAATGAGGATTATTTACAATAGTTTGCACAAAAACTTTCAAAGACTTTTGAAACATCATCCTGTGGCAGTTCCTGCTCATTACCCATATGAACGCACAAACATTACAATAACGCATTACGTAATGATAACTTGGATATACAAACTTATATTGGTCTTTAGAAGATTTTTTCGAAAGGCTTTGCTTTCGTGTTACAAAGAAATAGATAAGTACAACAATAATGCTATTAATCAATCAGTAAATCAATTAATTAATTAATAATTTTGAATGGAATATGAACAAATCAATCAATGAATTAATTAATTAATCGATCAGTAAATCAATAACTCAACCAATCAGTCGATCAATGATGCATATTGATATATGATTTTGCAATATGATCCGCGGTCTATATATATATATATATAACACATATACCACATTTCCTCAACCAGGCGATACCATTATTAGTAAAACAAACACCATGTGTTCTAGTCCTTAACAAAGGAAACCCAGTTTATGTACATGTATTTCTAATTTTTTAAAAAGGAAAAGGAAAAACCGTCAATAGCAATAGCCATTCCAACGCAATAGCTAACTAAATTTATCCATACTTCTGGAGCTAAAGGTGTTCTTGGCGATTTAAAATCTTGCCAAACATAATTCCATCCATTGAGCTGACATTGTACAGGTGAATTGATACGTTGGTAAACACGGGTTAAGGAGATAAACATGAATCAAGTGAACAATACATTAGTAAAAAGGTCTATGTAATACCGACGTGTGACTTCATACGTGCCAAGATGTCAAGATTGCTGGTTCAAACATTTTGTACTTAACATTGGTGTGGTGATCACATTAGCCCCAAACACCGTGGTTTGAATGATTTTGCGGGCTCTGTAACCTGGACGACGAGTGAAAACATTCAAGCAACGGACTGGAGCAGGTCAAATTGAGTGTTTGGCGCTATTGTGGCTCCCGTGCCAGTGTTTAGCACAAAATGTTTGAACCAGCAACCTTGACAACTTGGCCAGTATGACGTCACGCTGCGCTAGTCTATTCAGTAGACAGCCTCCACCCTCCCGTTTCCTCGACAGAAAAACACACTCGAATGAAATTCTTTCAGCCTCCACAAATAAACCACAGAGTTCGCTATCCAGTTAAAAGCAGTTACCAGTGTTACCAAAAATATGAAACATGGGCCATTGAAGAACGCCTCGAGTTCAAAAAAAGTCTTCGTCACGTAAAGCTTATAAGAGATAGAGCACATGTCATGGTGCCAGTGATTAAAGACGTGCTATAGACGATAGCAAAGGTGCGCAGGACTCGCTTGTTTTCTTTCTTTCTTTCCTCCATCTGAACATTATCGCATTGCATCTTGGCCACCACTCCATAAATCAGACTCAGACATACCCCGGTGAGAAAGAAAACGGGGAGCGTCAAGATGAAGACGGCTAGCTCTCCATTAATCAAATCGCCTGAACTGTCTTCCAAAGAGCCGATGAGAAACAAAACGCCGGCGCAGATCACCCACGATGCGATGGCCGCGACGACGCATCTCGCCGTAGTGATGATGTTCTTCACGCCGAACGGGTCGAAGCGGATGGTGATGAGCTGGTATAGGGCTACGAAGAGGATGTTAATCATGGAAACGACCAGGGGCGTCGTTAAGAAAGCGCGTATGATATTCTCTGGAATGTAGGGGAAAGTGGGGCATAATGGAACACTTAATTTCAAACTTGCAATATGACGTCATCAACGACGCAAAAACAGTAAAAATAAAAGTTTCAGATAGATGTTGTATGCACTTTATTATGTCAACGAAAAACCGACAAAAACCACGGTAAAATTGCAGAAAAACTCGAAACGAATTTTACAAAAGAAAAATCCAACTTGCCCCATCCCTGGGGCATAATGGCACTCCCCCCTGGGGCAAAATGGATCTACGGATCCGTATTGCCCCATCAGAACTCTAACGTATATATTGAGTAATGTACCTAAAGTAACTTTAAGCAAACTTGGTGGGCAGAGCTGCATAATGAAAGCCTATAGTAGTTTCAAACTTTTATGGGGCAAAACTGGAAAGGTAATCGTAATAAAGCCTGGATTAAAAGTAGAAAATGTAGACTTGTAAAATGTGCACTACACTCTCAATTTCTTAGACTGGAATCTGGGTCACATTTTCGTTCTGATACAACCACTAGTCACGTAAACCAACTGCTAGGCACATTAAATTCAGCTAACTTATACATCTAAAACTGGCTGGGAAACTAGAACAACTATCGATTTGTTTTATGAACCAACTACTTTCAGAATGGAACATGAAACATTGGTAAACAGGCCCCTATAAAAAGGGCGAAAACAGTATTTTGTTTATTTTTGTGAATTATTTTACAAGACAAAACAAAATTAGTAGTGTTGATTTTTATTCCCTTTATGCATTTGTTGTCTCTGTGCTATAATGTCGCCATAATTAAAGCACCTACTGGCTAAACAATGAATGATATTTGGAAATAAAGAGTGGAGAACGTTTAACTTATAAAAATACAACAAGAAAATCCAAATATAATGATAAAAATACATATATGCATACACACAAGTGCACACGCACATTCACTCAACCATGCATTCAGTCTTTAGGACCAACAGGGACACCATAACATTGGAGTGGTTTACTTTTTTACATTTTTATTTGAAGCCGTAAACCCTTGGCACTTGCCTAAGTCAAGCTTTCACAAGATATGTTATTTTCAATTGGGGCAAAACGGAACCCTGTTCCATTTTGTCCCGTACCTATATGGTCCATTTTGCCCCAATGACATATTTTTTAATAAAAGTTTGCGTAGAAAATACCTGAAGCATAGTTGGCATGCAAACAGGCGAGTCTAACGTTGATATCTTTATGATTAATATATACAAATATTTGATTAGAATCGATACCAAAATTACCAAATTTCAGCCATATGAACATCCCCTTACTTAAGATCATGAGGCTGTAATTTTTTGGATGGGATCTTACTCCGATGTGCCTCGATGTAACCGGATGAAAATTCAGTGCTGAAATTATTTTGGCATCTTCTCTTCTTCAAAGAATTTGCATAGAGGGCGACCTTTTTTAACACATGCTAATTTCAAAGTTCCATTTTGCCCCCCGGGTCCGTTATGCCCCACTTTCCCCTACATCTGTAAGGATAGATTGTTATAAGTTTAGAAAACACTTTAACATTCTGATGTTAGAACAATAGTATAAATAAAACAAAACAATGTAAATGAAAGTCATAATGATAACAATGATTTTAATAATGACAAAGTGATAATAATGATAACTAGACATGCAATCGTGTCACAACGATATGCGTGCAATGACGCACGTATTTCTACATTTGAAACGAAATAGCTTCTCTCGGACTGTCCAGAGCAATTTGTAATTAAGAAGTCTGTAGCTTCTGTGATAGTTGAGATAGGTAGAGCGAGAGAAAGGCCACCAAAACGGCCCGGAACGGACGAAATAGCGCCTGGACGGTCATGCATGAGGGATTCCGGAGAACGAAGAATACAGTGACCTTGTAGGAATGATAGACCCCCTGTCCACACACAACATTTTCCGTGATTAGGCGTGATTAGCTATACCGTTTCGCGATAGTGATACCGTTTCGCGATAGTTTTACGTTGAAATTATGTGTGTGGACGCTCACTAACGATACGTCGTATAACGAAGCTAGTCTAACGAAACGCAGGTTTGGGCATCGTTTCGAACTAGAACTAAATAAAGAATCATGCCTAATCACGCCTAATCACGGAAAATGTTGTGAGTGGACAGGGGGAGTGTTAGTGTAACTATAAACTGGGCGGGGCTTAACGTGACCTCGAGCGAAAGGAGACCAGGGGGGTGTTTCATAAAGCATTTGACTTACGACTATAACAAATCTGGTATCTATATGACAAATCTGATTACGACTATCGTAGCTTGTTATTGAAGTGAAAATACGTTTCATAAAACTAATAACAAAGTGATCGTTTAAAAAACGATCATTACGATTATGCGCGTGCGCAATAGCTCCATTGTGCCTTGCCGTCGTCTGCAATCACCGTGACAATGAACCCAACTTCGCCGCTTGAAATGTTTTTTTCATAGAAATCCCGTAAGTACATGTCATATTTAATCCATAATACGAAGAATTATATTCATAACTCGACATCTGTGTGCTTATTTATATTTAAATACTTTTCCAGCGGTTAAACAAAGATTGATGATGAGAGCTCGCATGCGAGTGTTTGTCAAATTTCATGCGCTCAAACCGAGAGCGGGAGCTGAGTGTAACGCCCGGACTGGTGGCGGGCACTTTTGCATCAGTCCTACCGTCATCCGATGCTGTTGTCTGGAGTGACTGAGCTGTTCAGCTGTCGGAGTTGACTGAGCTGGCTGAGCTTAGTGTCGGATTTAATAAATTTAGAACCGAAAATTACAGTTCTATTTAATCCTAATTATTGAAACAGCAACTCCTGCAGTAAACCGCAAGAACCCAAGCAGTGTCTAGATCTAGTCTAGATCTAGACTAAAGACTAGAGTAGACTTTAGTTTTAGAGACGAGTCTAGTCTACTGTCTAGACTAGATCTAGTCTAGAATCAATCTAGACCCTATAGATCTATCTATAATTTTTGCGTAGGGTCAAGTCTTAAGACTAAAGAGACTAAAGCTACTGTAGATCTATATAGCAGGGAAAAAATATTTAAACACTTTCGGGGGCTACTTTACAAGATTGGTTACATGAAAGGGGGGGGGGGGGGATAAGAGCACATTTTTTTTTGGTCCAGGATTTGATAAAAAAATTCGCAACGACTCAGCTCAGAGAGTCGCTGAATAAGCGGGGGGGTTGAAGGGGGGTAAGAGCACCTTTTTAATTATTTTTTTTGTCCCAAAAATTTGGTCGATTGCTATTTCGATCTGTTGGGGGGGGGGGGGTATAGGCTTAAGTTAATCCAAGGCCATGGCCGTGGATGCCCTTTTGATTGGCCTCAATGCCCCTCTCATTGGCATTGGAGATTTCCAATTTTGTGCCCTATCCAATTCTTTCTATTTGTGCTGTAATATAGGAATATGCCCCACAGAAAAGTGGCCTTGCCCTAAAAATATTGAAATTTAAAGCCTGGCCGGGTAAGTCAGGTTTTTTTGGTCACCCATTAGCACAATTTTTTTTTTTTTTTTTTTTTTTTTTTTCGGGGGGGGGGGGGGGGGGGGGGGGTTTCCTCCAAAACACACAAAAAAAAAAAAAATTGAGGGGGGTTCAACCCCCCTAACCCCTGCATACGCGCCAGAGCACAATATCTGTTAATAAATATACCTTGGACAGCTATATTTAGCATTACGTCATCTTGGACAAAAATATCAAAAAATTTAAAATTAGTAAATAGTAATGCCCTGCCTCCATGGGTGTCGATCTGTCACTGATACCTATTCATCAGGGGGGGGGGGGATGATCTATTCATTCATCCCCCTCCCCCCTCCTTTAATAGAAAATAAAGGACGAGAAACTTCCCATTTTTGTTAGTTGGCCTAATAATGAAGGGTTTTTTTTGTGTGAAATCCAAATTAAAACACGTTAATTCTGCAAATGCTCATCAAACTTAAATGGTCATACTCAGTTTTCATTCTAAATATTAAATTCCCCCTCTCTTTTACAGGAAAATGTACATTGAGACTTGTCGCAGTACCAAATGCTTGCCTCCTCTGAGAATGTGCTTGAAACAAGAATGTCCTGGAGAAAACAGACCGTCACAAGAGAAGGTAAGCATATACAGTCAAACCTGCTTTAGTGACCACCTGTCTTATAAAGACCACATTTTTTGTCTCCCTTTAAAATGGTTTCTCATTGAAACATGTACTAAAGGAACCTGTGGGGATGCAAAGGGGTGGCTATGCATCAAAATGTCTAGTAACAAGTTGCTGTAGTGTTCATTAAGTGTATTTTAACTTCCAATGTATCTCTTTTTAGAATTAACATTTGAAGTTAATGTAGAAAGGTGGGGGGGGGGTCAATAATATGAAAAGGAATGGCAAGCAATATTTAATAATGCTGTTATATTTGTATTTTCTTTCATATTTTGTCAATATTTATTGAAGTGTTTATAATTCTGTTCCAGAAGGAGGGCTTCCTGTAGAAAGATCATGGGGTGCCTTGAGGTTCCGACCTTGAATTTCTGCCCTTTACCTCAAAGCGATGGCCTCTTGGAGGAACAAAGCACAATGGACTGGTAATTCATAATAAATATTACATGTTTTTTAACAAATCTGGGAAATAATTAGAGATAAATTCATAGGATTTGATTCTGTCATGGCATTTTTAGTGAACGGACATTTGCCCCTGCAACGACTGCTCCAGGCTTTATTTCGTCAAAGGTATAGGGTTCGGTCGAGGGCTGCAATTGGGATTGAGATGGTTTAGAGTTAGGTTTTGGTCGAGTGTTGGGTCCAGGGATAATATTAATTATTTTGTTTAATAGTGTAGGAAATTGACGTGGAGCTGTGGTCACTGGATGAAGTGTCATCCAACACAATTTTGCAGGTGCTGGTGAAGCTGCATGTATGTTGCTCATCATCTGTATTGTGATTGCAGCTTAAACATGATGAAGAGTGGAAGGGGAAATAGTATACAAGACTTCTTTCCATCATTTACAATAGCTTTAGTAAAGTAATAATACACTGACCTGCAGTTTGTGAAACATGTATTGTATTGTAGCACTGTATTACCAATTTAAAGAAGTAAGCGATTTTTACGACATTGACAATTGTTTACTGCATGGTTATGCTAAACACAAAATTAATTCTTAACCTTAATCCTGGATCTATTGCAAAACATAAATGTATTTAAACATTCCGGACCCAAAGTTAGGTAACCCTAAATCCCTTTCTACATACCGGTAGTCCGGTACTGGTATTGTTCAAAGTTGATAATTTATTACACCTTTACTGTAATGCACTTGGAGAGTATATAACTATTATGTTTGTATTTTAAAATGTAAAGCGCCTTGAGCATGTTCATGTAAAGGCGCTCAATAAATACCAATATGTATGTATGTATGTACTTCAAGTTCTAAAATTTCTGCAAAATCATACCCTGCTGTTCACTTTATAATTATTATTTTACACTGCTTTCATGAACATGCCATAAAAGTGAACTCATTGGATGTCTCTGTACAAACAGGTGCCAGTACATGTAATGCAAAAGCTCATGATGATATGGACAAGGACCTTGCTGTCTAAAGCTCAGAGACCAGATGACAGTGTCTGAAGTAAGTTGCCCAATAGAAGAGCATGAACTTTCACTTGCAATTGTCAACCAACCCATCCATGCTTCCTGCAACCCATCCCACTTTCACAATATATTCTCTAGACAACAGTAACCTACAATCAACATTTGGTTTAGTGATTAAGAAAGGCGACAGAAAACGATTTAATCTCCTTTTTCATACTCCTATACAGGAATTTGTTGTTATTGATTTTTTAGAACCAAAATTGTTATTAATTAAATTATTTATTTTTTAATTTATTATTTATTTATTTTATTATATCATTATTTATTTATTTTTTTTTTTTTGGGGGGGGGGGGGGGGGCAGGCAGTCAGCCCATCAATACAAGGCCTTATAATCGCATATGGCTATATCCTGGAGGTAGTCGCCCCAGAAGTGTGATAAATAACAAATATTTTTTTTAACAAAAAAATCATGACAAAAAAGCACGAAATATAGGAATGTACTCCTGTCGAGCAAACAGTATGTTAATGATAATAATAATAATAGTGTAAACTTATAGAGCGCACACACCGTCCAGGTACACTCATGGCGCTAACTCAGCAACAGTTCTCTTTAATACAAGTAAAGTAAATGTTTATTTGATAAAAGAGTTATACCATCAGAAAATCGAAAACAATTTTGCAACATTATATAAAACTAATAGCCTTTTGAAGATTACTAGAAGAAGCAGAAGAACAAAAAGGAGAAGAAATACACTGATGATGTTGGCTTTACATCTTAAAGTGCTTGTACAATATTTGATTTTTTTTCTTCTTTTTCTTCAACTAATCTTTTGTTCATGAACAGCCAGCTTGTCAGAATTGGTTACAAAGATGCAAGTGGACTTGTCTTCAGTAGTTAAAGAGGAGCAGTCAGCTGAAGGAGCACGCAACTCCAAAACAATGTGGATACTGGATACTTCTCTCAAGTTCATCTCTAATCAGACATGGCTCTTCAGGAATCAAGATGAGACAGTGGCGGTAGAGGAGTTTGTGACCCTCCTGACTGTGGACTACTTGCAATATACATGTACTAAATTAATGGATTGTAGAACTACTGCACAAAACTCGACCAGTCATGCTTGAACAAATCGTAACAAACACTTGTTGAAGCATTGATTTATGTAACTGGTATTAGCCTTAAAGTAGGGTTAAGCTTCTAAATTTGATAAAAAACTTTGTCCCAAAGGAACCTCAAGCTGCCGATTCCCCCCCCCCCCCCTGCTATTCCGTTAACCCTTCAAGGAAGGGATCAAATGAATTAAAATCCAAACTTGATTAATAACGAATTGATCTGTTAAATATTGTCATCATTTCAGTATAGTTCTTTGTGTGGAGATCAGTGAATGGATATTTTCATGTACAATGCAAGTGAGGTGTCTATCTTCATTGGAATTCAGGATGTGAATTCCAATGAAGATGGCTTGTTTTCAAGGGGCGAAGCAAGATGGATTGCTGTGAACTTAATGACATAGGGAATGTTTCCCTGTATTGTCGGATTGAGGTTTGGATGGCATGAATGTTGAATAATGTGAAATTAGTGAAAAGAATGGCAGAATATACTAAATTTGTACACCAGCCTATGGGAAATAAAAAAAATTGCTTTATTTGAACACTTTTGTACACAGGTCTATGGAAAAACATAGCAATAACAACACTTACCGCACCTCATGGAGCTGCGGTAACTGTTACCGTTGGTATGACCACTTACCGCTGCTTTTTTCAGCGGTAAAGTTTTATGAAACGGAAAGTTACCGCTGCTTCCAAATTTACCGCTGCAACTGGAATATACCGCTGAAAATGGGACTTACCGCTGCGGTAAATGCTTTATGAAACGGGCCCCAGACCTCTCATTTCCGCTTCCATTTCAGCAAACTGCGCACCTATACGACATTTCGCTGTAGAGTTTCAGGATTACTTTCTTCTGTGTGTGGACATCCTGGAATTTATACGATGATTATTTATACGACGTTTCTTGTGTGTGGACACTCTGAAATTTATACGACGTTTCGTTATATAGTTTCGGGATGAATTGTTTTGTGTGTGGACACGCTGAGAGACTATGCCTACGTAGTTTGAAGGGAATTGAAATTGAGGAAGGGACCTAGAAAGGGCTCGCAAGCACTGCGTGCAAAACCAAAGAGATTTGGTGCATGATAAACATGTGGTGACGCGTGCTGTGGCACAAACAACCGTCCATACTAACATAATCATGATTATAAAATGCCCCCTTGACACATTTTTAGAGAACGAAGATTTTGTTGACATGGTGGGGTGCTAGATATTACGTCCAAAAAGTTTGAAAGGAGTTGGGATAGAGGAAAGGACCTACAAAGGGCTTGCAAGCACTGCGTGCAAAAACCCATGGGATTTGGGTGCATGATGAACACGTGATGACGCGTGCGGTGGCACAAACATCCACCCATACTAATCCATCCCCCTTGACAGATTATAAAAATCTGGCTCCGAGGTGCACTGCGTACGCCACTTTAAAATTTCAAGAAGAGAAAAGGACGGGAAGGGGGCGAAAAGCAGTCTGAAAAAATGACGTCATAGCTGATAGGTGTTATAACTTGGCGGAAACTCAGCAGAATTCGTATAGTGACCCTTGTTCAAACGCGATTTACTCGAATATTTTTCTGATAACATATGACGTTTTTGGTATCATTCGAAAAAAAGCACTTCATTGCGGTCAGTTTGACACCATTTTCATCTACGAACATTGTACTGCACGTTTTAAAACGGGCTGTTACGTAATGCATACTAAATTCATTGTTTTGGGCAATAACTTTGCGCTGACGTCATCAAATTTTGCCAAACTTGGCAGAAAGTTTTCCCGTGTTTGAGTACATGTGTGTGCCAAGTTTCGCCATTTTAGCGCAATTGGAAGTTATTTCGCCATTTTCGTGAAAATGGCGAATTTGGAGGGGAATTTTCTCAAGTTTAGTCAGATCATGAGGTGGTGGTAGGTCTATGGTCAGAGTTAGGGTATATAATTTTGCATTTGGCTGGAAAGGGTATGTCTTCGAGTACTAAATCCAAAAAAGGGTACGGGTTAGGCCAGAAACGATGGAGATACGGTCTAGTAAGAAGGCTCAATTCGCAAGACTTTAGAGGGCGCTATTTGATTTTTGCATACTCATTGCAAAACCGTTGGAGCGTGAAATTCAGCATGGCTTTGTGTAATTATGAGATAGAGATACTGTAAGATTTAAAAACAAAACGGAATATATATGAGAAAAGTGATGGCACTTTTAGATTTTTAGGGGTCAATTTGTCAAGATTTTTAGAGATTTTCAACGGAGTCGGTTTCAGATATGAACTTTGAGTACGAAGATGGCATTTTGAAGGTCAGGTTATGTGTCGCAGATAACAGAACATCTCTTAGACTATCCAGAGGAATGGCGCCTGGACGGTTACGCATGAGTGATTTTAAAAAAGAACGTAGTGACCTTGATGGGATGCTATAGAATATGCCTACGAAATTTGAAAGGAATAGGGCAAAAGAAAAGGACCTAATTAGGAATAATAAGCGCTACATGCAAAACGAATGTGATTTCCTGACGAAAAGAAGAAGAAGAATATTTATAGGGCAGAATGTGAACGAAACTGCAGTAAAAGTAATAATGATGATAATAATAATAAATTTTCGTCAATGCAATAATCGTACTACTATTACTACTACTACTACTTTTACTACTACTACTACTACTACTACTACTACTTTTACTACTACTACTACTACTACTACTATTATTACTACTAGTGATTACAATGTGACGGTACATAATTATAGTACCACAATGTTGTTCAATGTTCTAAAGAAATTTTTAGCTTGCACCCAGTAGCTTAAGATCCCGGGCTCGATCTTCTATTTGGAAACAAGACAGAAAAAAGTCTTGGAACCAGCGGGATCTACTAAGTGCAAGCCAGAAAGAACAGTTGAAACTTCTCCCAGGAAGCCTAACATTTAATCCTTGTTTTCTCTTATTCAAATAGGATTGTAAAGACGGAATCACCTGAGTGCAATCAACTGATACATAGCCATATTACATACGAAATTGACAAAACATCACTACTATTTATTAAAATTGTACACCTACCCATCGAAAGATTGCTACAATATGACAGATGACACTAACTAGGTCTGCCAAGATGATGTTAAACTGGAAGATGAATCGTCGTTTGCGAAGGCGATGATGACCGAGAATGAAAGCCAGAGGGAATGTGGAGAGGAGAAAAGCAATGCCGAGAGTCAGGTAGAAAATGATTGTATTAGCTGTGGTACTCTTGTTACAACCGAGGCCAAGAACGAGATGAGAAAACTCGATCCATCTTAATGGTGAAGGTTTTTTTTATGTATTTATTTCTTAGTCGTCAGGCGTTATATCAGGAATGGATTAGCTTGAATGTGTAAATAACAACAATAACCTGTATATAAAGATCAGTCAATGAACACAAGAAAAGTGGCTTTTTTGAGCAGTTGGTCTTTGTGTGCAGGTTCCTTAAATCACAAGACCAATGAAGAAACACAGTTGATGGGTACAAGAAATGTCGTCTTTACATCCGGATGGTCTCTCTATACAGAAACTATCGGGGTTAATTGACCAAAGACATACCCAGCGGCCATAATGACAAGTGTACTCTATCACAATGGAAGTGAACTTGCACGTTAGTGGTAACCAATACGTTTCACAGATTTAAAAAAAACAAGAGAAAAAAGCTTTGTTTACTACTAATGATGATTGCGTGGTTCTCCGAATTTAATTCGAAATTCCCATACATTATTTGTGTTGGGTTTTAGATCTGATTGCTTCGAAAGAGCTGACAGAGGTTTTGAATTAAATTCCGATTTCGCAAAACGGGATGGAGGAATATTACAATAGTGATGGTAGGTTAGTACGTATGGAGAGAGAGGGGGGGGGGGTGCAATGCAGAGTCGAAGAAAGAGCTAAAGAGATGGATAAATACTTAAACAAATAGGTAACAGTCAATATAAAACTTATATAAAGCAACACATTCCCATATTCCCATATAAAACCAACACACCAAGCTAGGTTTCATAACATTATCATATATGACCTCTTGTTGATAAAACACAGTCTAAGTTTGCAGACCTTAAATTATATTTGTCCTTGAATTTATCACCTAAAAGACTAATCACATGATTGATGATACTTGATAACCCCTATGTTCAAGTTTAATGGAATAGGAATGTATACTTTCGAAAGTATGATAACAATTCAAAATCGTAACCTTTTGTTAAGTTTTGATGTTGATGCCACAACATAGTCTAAGTTTGTTGACCTGAAATTCGACTCACATGATTGGGGATACTTGATAATCCTTTGGTCCAAGTTTCATTGAATAAGAACTTATACTTTCAAAATGATACTAACATTTCAAAAACTAACCTCAGGTTAAGTTTTTGATGTTGACGCCGCCGCCGCCGTCCCCGGAAAAGCGGCGCCTATGTCTCGCTTGTTGCTACGCAGGCGAGACAAAAACGCCGCGGTTTTGCTGCATCTTATCTGAACGGGGCTTTACAAGACAGGGCCCAAATTGATATGTATTGTATATAACAATTGAATTTTGAATTTAATTTGAATTTATTTGTTTTACATGCTCGAATGTATACAGTAAACAAAATGGAGGATATTACATGGAACAAATTGGACAGTTTGAACATTATTGAACGTAATGTGAGGTGGTCGAGGACTCGAAATAAACGACAGACAGATCATGTAAGAGGGACAAGCAAAGAGTCTCTTTATTAGTAGTAACCACATTACATATCACATAATAATGCTGATAACCATGGAGATCGTGCATTACCCTTTACATGTCATTTTATCAAATATAAATTAGTACATTTGCCCTTTAAAAACCAACTGCCACAGTACAATGTAGCTGAAACTGTCAACATTAACACAGGTAATTACCTGACCCGATTTCTAAACAAATAGGTTACAGTCAATATAAAAGTTATATAAAGCAACACATTCACATATTTGGATAAACCAACACACCAAGCTAGGTTTAATAACCTTATCATGTGACCTCTATATCACCGTTTAATTCTTGTTCAATAAACTATACCTTTAACTTGTACATTGTAATATTAAGACAAAGCAAATATCCTAACAACATAAACTTAAATAGGGCTATCCTTGCCCCCCCCCCCCACCCCCTTTCAAAGTAGGCAAATATTATAGAATGAATAATGAAATTAACTATATCATAACAATGGAACAAAGAAAAAATATCTCTGCTTTTAAATATCTAAATATCCCAAGACCAGAAACATTGATAGATCCTGGAAACTAGAAATCTCTTGAGATCTGCATGAAATACAACTTTCATCAACCACTCCAATCCAAATATGTATCTTCCATACTTGTCTTACTTCCAACCAAACTCCAATGATCTTCTGGTCTAACCCTAAACATTGCTCTTATTCCTACTATTCCATATCAATTTAACATGTAACAATATTCTTTTATAGCAATCTACAAAATGAGAAATAAAGTTTACGATGATAGAGGGCGCTAGAAACCCTCTGATGGCTAAATAGTCAACGTTCAATTATCACTGTTCGATGTGCCATAATAAATATCCCCTTAGCAACCAAAATGCAAACAACATGCAAAGCTTTTAAACACTCAAGTACTATCATAGGCAATTATTTTCTATGCTCCCTATAATTCTCACTGAACTCGCTCCTGATCCAAGACCTATACTCATCACATAAATTAGAGCGTAACCCTGGTCCTGGGACAAACCATTAGCGCGCACGTATAGACCAGTTCACGGTTAGCACATTACTGCAATGACCCCGAAAATCCACAGATCTTCAAAACATGAAGAGGTCCCACTTTGTACATTTTTAAATAATCACTCCTACATCGATGGAGGTGCTTTATAAATAGCCTTTGTTTCCCCTTTTCAAAGAATACTTCCACCTGTGTATCATTGAGTGCACTGAATGTGCATGAATGAATAATGATTACATAACTTTCATGATCACGTATCCAGTATTTCGTCTCCGTGTATTTCACAATTTGTTCTGCAATGACCTTTATCTGCTCATGCTCAGACTGCAACCGTGAACTGGCTTATTACACCCAATTTTTGTACCGCATTCAATTACTAGTAATTAGTGTACATAACCATGTACTACAATGTAAATGCATATATAAAAAATCATAACGCTAAGCATCACACATTTTAACATTAAATCCTCGCTTTCGATATAATCATATCAACCCACATGATACATCATAATAATCACTGAAATCGTTCTGACACCATCCACATGTACATAACAAATATTTAACATAACAATATCAATATTTACTAATCATAAAAGTGGTTCATGTTTGGTCAACTCACCTGTAAGACGGACAAGCACAGAGTGCCTGCTTGTCTCAGCACTCCGCCCTCTACAGGTTACAGGGGAATTTCCTAACCCCTCACAGTATTAAGATTATTTCTATGTGATAGTGAAATATAGTGTTAATTAAAAGCGTGGCTAATAAAGGTAAATCCCTTTTAAAACTTAAGTACGCTTTAATATAAGTTCGTTAAGTAATTGTTTGTAATCATCAATAAATTATGATACTGTGTCTATTTAAACAAAAATGTTCAACAAGAGAAATGAGGATTATTTACAATAGTTACAAAACTTTCAAAGACTTTTGAAACATCATCCTGTGGCAGTTTCAGTAGCCTGCTCATCACCCATATGAACGCACAAACATTACAATAACGCATTACGTAATGATAACTTAGATACAAACTTATATTGGTCTTTAGATGATTTTTCGAAAGGCTTTGCTTTTGTGTTACAAAGAAATTGATAAGTACAACAATAATGCTATTAATCAATCAGTAAATAAATAAATTAATTCATAATTTTGAATGGAATATGAACAAATCAATCAATCAATCAATTAATCAATCAACCAATCAGTCGATCAATGATGCATATTGATATGTGATTTTGCAATATGATCCGCGGTCTATATACATATATATATATAACATTTCCTCAACCAGGCGATACCATTATTAGTAAAAACAAACACCATGTGTTCTAGGCGTAAAACAAAGGAAACCCAGTTTATGTACATGTATGTGTAATTTAAAAAGAAGAAAAAGTGAAAACCGTCAATAGCAAATAGCCATTCAAACGCAATAGACGCGCTTATTAAATGTATCCATGTTACTTGTGGAGCTAAAGTTGTTCTTGACGATTTAAAATCTTGCCAGACATAATTCTATCCATAGAGCTGACATTTTGCATATAGCTGGTGAATTAATTAGTTGGTAAACACGGGTAAGGGATAGAAACATGAATAAATTGAACAATACATTAGTAAAAAGGTCTATGGAGTACCGACGTGTGACTTCAAGATGTCAAGATTGCTGGTTCAAACATTTTGTGCGTAGCATTAATGTGGTGATCACATTAGCCCCAAACACCGTGGTTTGAATGATTTTGAGGGCTCTGTAACCTGGACGACGAGTGAAAACATTTAAGCAACGGGCTGGAGCAGGTCAAATTCAGTGTTTGGCGCTAGTGTAGTCCCCGTGCCAGTGTTTAACACTATGGCCCGAATTCACAAAGGAGGTGTGTCGACAAACCTCCTTTTGTTTCGCCGAACTTCCTTTTGTTTTTTACAAACCAGGTTTGTAAAAAACGCGTCATATGACGTACGAAAACCAAGACTTGTCGACAAACCTCCTCCGTGAATTCGGGCCAAAAATGTTTGAACCAGCAACCTTGACAACTTGGCCAGTATGACGTCACGATGCGCTAGTATATTCAGTAGACAGCCTCCACCCTCCTGTTTCGACTACAAGAAAACACAATCGAACGAAATTCTTTCAGCCTCCACAAATAAACCACACAGTTCGCTATCCAGTTAAAAGCAGTTACCAGTGTTACCAAAAATATGAAACATGGGCCATTGAAGAACGCCTCGAGTACAAAAAAAGTCTTCGTCACGTAAAGCTTAAGAGATAGAGCACGTGTCATGGTGCCAGCGATCAAAGAGGTGCAGTAGACAATAGCAAAGGTGCGCAGGACTCGCTTGGTGTCTTCCTTCCTTTCCTCCATCTGAACATTATCGCATTGCATTTTGGCTACCACGCCATAAATCAGACTCAGACATACCCCGGTGAGAAGGAACACGAGAAGCGTCAAGATGAAGACGGCTAGCTCTCCATTAACCCCGTCGGTCTTGTCCAAATAGCCAATGGGAAACATAACGCAGGCGCAGACCACCCATGATGCGACGGCAGCGACGAAGCATCTCGCCGTGGTGATGATGTTCTTCACCCCAAAGGGGTCTACGCGGATGGTGATGAGCTGATACAAAGCTACGAAGAGGATGTTGATCGTGGAAACGACCAGGGGCGTCATCAAGAAAGCGCGTATGATATTCGCTGGAAAGTTCCGCTGTAAGGAGAGATTGTTAAAAGTTTAGAACAATTAAATAAAACATGGATTGAGGAAGGTACCTAGATATGGCTCGCAATTAGCACTGTGTGCAAAACGAATGTGATTGTCACTATGAACATGACGGACAATAAAAGAGGACAACATATACAGTTCCTCTTTATTGTCCTCTTTCTTTGTCCGTCATAAATTCATAGTGTGTGGTGACTGAAGAACACGTCATAGCGCGTGCTGTGGCGTGCTTTGTCCATACTAACATAATCATGCGGGGTATTGAATAGCGTCTAAAATGGCCCCCTGACAACTTTAAAGTAATCTGACTTCTTCAAGATGTCCTGCATTTGGCTACTAATAATATGTTTTTAAAAGTTGAGGGAAAAAATATCTGTCAGGGGGCGAAAAGCGTTCTAAAAGATGACGAAAAGGAAACCCAGCAGAATCCGTAGTGTGATCATTGTGCAAATTCGATTTACTCAAAATGTTCAGCTTTAACATATACCGTATTTAGTATCATTCAAAATAACATTTCATTGCGGTCCGTTTGCCACCACTTTCACGATTGTCGCTAGAATTCAGCAATCGTTGCTTAGATAGTTTTTCCCTAAAAAGTTTCCATGAGACATAAAGCAATATAGAACTATGATCGAAACAAAATGATATTGTCTTGAAAAAGTTTTAAAAAACATGAGAACTAGAATGAATAAGACATAATGCGATCATGTAAACATGTTCATTTTTTTCGATGTTAATCCTCCATTACCTAATACCCAATCAAAACTCGAGCCAGTAAAGGGTAAACGTAAAGACAATAGTTTATGACATATCGTTTATTGTCATGATTGTATTCTCTACTTATTTATTTTTTATATTTTACTTTATTTAATAATATATATTCTGTTTCTTCTTTTCTCTTCATAATATTTCAGCAACGAAATTAGAGTTTAGGTAGACATCTTGGATGTAGTACCTGAACACATGACATTTTGCAAAAGATAATCAGGATAATACGGATCAGAATAATACCAATACTAATAGGCCTACTACTACATGTACTAATACACTACTGCCATTGATGATTTTGCTGATGATGCTGATGATAATAATGATATAATAATATTGATAATAATTAGAATTATAATAATGATACTAATCCTCATCATCAATATATCATTTTCCTAATACTGATGACAATAACAATAAACGTAATAAGAATGATAATAATAATAATAATAATAAGTATACTACTGTTACTACTACTACTAGTAGTAGTAATTAAAATGTCACGCTACATAAAATAGTACCACAATGTTGTTCAATGTTCTAAAGAAATTGTTAGCTTGCACCCAGTAGATCAAAATCCCGTGCTCGGTCTTGTAATTGAAAACAAGTCAGAAAAAAGACTTTGAACCAGCGGGATCTACTAAGTGCAAGCAAGAAATTGGTTAACAACAATTGAAACTTCTGCCAGGAAGCCTAACATATTTAATCCTTTTTTCTCTTATTCCAATAGGATTGTAAAGACGAAGAACAATTAAGAATAATAATAATACATCGTCGTTAATGATGATAATGTTCACTTCTATCTTTCTGCTAATTCCTGCGAACAGTGGAATCACCTGAGTGCAATCAACTGATACATAACCATATTACAGACGAAATTGACAAAACATCACTACTATTTATTAAAATTGTACACCTACCCCTCGAAAGATTGCTACAAGACGGCAGATGAGACTAACTAGGTCTGCCAAGATGATGTTGAACTGGAAGATGAATCGTCGTTTGCGAAGGCGATGATGACCGAGAATGAACGCTAGAGTGAATGTGGAGAGGAGAAAAGCGATGCCGAGAGTCAGGTAGAAAATGATTGTATTACTTGTAGTACTCTTGTTACAACCGAGGCCAAGAACGAGATGAGAACACTCGAGATCCATCTTAATGGTGAAGGTTTTTTTTTATGTATTTATTTCTTAGTCGTCAGGCGTTATATCAGGAATGGATTAGCTTGAATGTGTAAATAACAACAATAACCTGTATATAAAGATCAGTCAATGAACACAAGAAAAGTGGCTTTTTTGAGCAGTTGGTCTTTGTGTGCAGGTTCCTTAAATCACAAGGCCAATGAAGAAACACAGTTGATGGGTACAAGAAATGTCGTCTTTACATCCGGATGGTCTCTCTATACAGGAACTATCGGGGTTAATTGACCAAAGACATACCCGGCGGCCATAATGACAAGTGTACTCTGTCACAATGGAAGTGAACTTGCACGTTAGTGGTAACCAATGCGTTTAACAGATTTTAAAAAACAAGAGAAAAAAGCTTTGTTTACTACTAATGATGATTGCGTGGTTCTGCGAATTTAATTCGAAATTTCCATACATTATTTGTGTTAGGTTTTAGATCTGATTGCTTCGAAAGAGCTGACAGTGGTTTTGAATTAAATTCCGATTTCGCAAAACGGGATGGAGGAATATTACAATAGTGATGGTAGGTTACTATGTATGGAGAAAGGGAGAGAGAGAGAGAAAGAGAGAGAGAGAGGGGTACAATGCAGATTTGTGTTAGGTTTTAGATCTGATTGCTTCGAAAGAGCTGACAGTGGTTTTGAATTAAATTCCGATTTCGCAAAACGGGAAGGAGGAATATTACAATAGTGATGGTAGGTTACTATGTATGGAGAAAGGGAGAGAGAGAGAGAAAGAGAGAGAGAGAGGGGTACAATGCAGAGACGGAGAAAGATGAAAAGAGATGGATAAATACTTAAACAAATAGGTAACAGTCAATATAAAACTTATATAAAGCAACACATTCCCATATTTGGATAGACCAACACACCAAGCTAGGCTTAATAACCTTATCATGTGACCTCTTGTTGATACAACAAAGTCTAAGTTTGCAGACCTTAAATTGTATTTGTCCTTGACTTTGTCACCTAAAAGACTAATCACATGATTTATGATACTTAATAACCCCTATGTTTAAGTTTCATGGAATAGGAATGTATACTTTCGAAAGTATGATAACGATTATTATTCGTAACCTTTTGTTAATTTTGATGTTGATGCCACAACATAGTCTAAGTTTGTTGACCTGAAATTCGACTCACATGATTGGGGATACTTGATAACCCTTTGGTCCAAGTTTCATTGAATAAGAACTTAAACTTTCAAAATGATACTAAAATTTCAAAAACTTAACCTTAGGTTAAGTTTTTGATGTTGACGCCGCCGCCGTCGCCGTCACCGGAAAAGCGGCGCCTATGTCTCACTTTTTGCTACGCAGGCGAGACAAAAACGCCGCGGTTTTGCAGCGTCTTATCTGAACGGGGCTTTACAAGACAGGGCCCAAATTTATATGTATTGTATATAACAATTTAATTTTGAATATGATTTAAATTTATTTCTTTTATATGCTCGAATGTATACAGTAAACAAAATGGAGGATATCATATCGAACAAATTAGACAGTTTGAACATTATTGAACGTAATGTGAGGTGGTCGAGGGCTCGAAATAAACGACAGACAGATCATGTAAGAGGGACAAGCAAAGAGTCTCTTCATTAGTAGTAACCAGTAACTGACACATTACATATCACATAATAATGCTGATAACAATGGAGATCATGCATTCCCCTTTACATGTCATTTTATCGAATATAAATGAGTAAATTTGCCCTTGACCAACTGCCACAGTCCAATGTAGCTGAAACTGTCAACATTAACACAGGCAAATACCTGACCCGAATACTTAAACAAATAGGTAACAGTCAATATAAAAGTTTTATAAAGCAACACTTTCCTATATTTGGATAAACCAACACACCAAGCTAGGTTAAATAACCTTATCATGTGAACTCTATATCACTACTTAATTCTTGTTCAATAAACTATACCTCTAACTTGTACATTGTAATATTAAGACAAAGCAAATATCCTAGCAACATAAACTTAAATAGGGCTATCCTTGTCCCCCCCCCCTTTCAAAGTAGGCACATATTATAGAATGAATAATGAATTTAACAATATCATAACAATGGGACAAAGACAAAATATCTATGCTTTTAAATATCTAAATATCCAGGAACCTTGAGATCTGCATGAAATACAACTTTCATTAACCACTCCAATCCAAATATGTATCTTCCATACTTTTCTTACTTCCAACCAAACTCCAATGATCTCCTGGTTTAACCTTAAACATTGCTCTTACTCCTATTATCCATATCGATTTAACATGTAACAATATTCTTTTATAGCAATCTACAAAATGAGAAATATGGTTTACAATTATAGAGGGCGCTAGAAACCCCTATAAGCCTGTGTCTCTTATCACTGTTGTTGGTGATGGACCATTCAAGGAGGAGACTGGCCCTGGTAGCTTCATGCATGTAGAAATAGCATGCTAAGTGAGGGGTCAACCGACTTGTGAGATACAGGCAAGCGTCCTGGTCTACCTTCTCGTGGTGGGGTTGTTAACCCATTGAATTCAATGGGGACGAACAGACCAGGGTGAGGCAGACGGTGACGGGAACCCACTGTCGTAAATTTCTCCCGAGAATACCACATGATGCACAGATTGAATAAGAGAAACAAGCCTTTTCAGGTGGAAGTTGAGACCCCTAGGATGCCCACCCGTAATGCTACTGGGGAAGAGGAGGCGACAGCGGCAAGATATGCCCATGACGGTGGTACCCCAAACTCCGCCTCGGAAAGGATATCATCTGATGGCAGGACGTCAAACCCGTCTGTTGTTAACCTATGCAAGAAGAAGCAAGTGCTACGATTAGGCACCTGGAATGTGAGAACAATGAACCAGCTTGGAAAACTGGAACTCCTGATAAAAGAACTAAAGAGTATGAAACTGAACATAGTTGGACTAAGCGAAACCAGATGGAAATGGGAAGGAGTACTCAACCCAGACAGAGACACCACTATTGTCTTCTCAGGAAAGGATAGTGGCAAAAGTGAAAGTGGTGTAGCCATCTTACTCACAAACGAAGCCAGAAATGCACTGGATGCATACACTCCAGTATCAGAGAGAATTGTGATGGTAAGACTGAAAGCAAAACCAAAACACCTCACCATCATCCAGGTCTATGCTCCAAACTACAAACTACTACAAACAACTGTGGATAAAGTAAACAATGGGGACACACTAGTAATCATGGGAGATTTCAATGCTAAGATTGGAAAAGGTGAAGACATCAGGTGTGGAGTAGGCAAATTTGGCCTTGGCAACAGAAACGAGAGTGGAGATAAATTAGCAGAATTCTGTCATGTCAATAACCTTATTTTTAACAAACACAACGTTTGACCACCACAAGAGGAATCTATACACTTCAGAAGCGGATCTAGAGGGGGGGGGGGGGGGTCGGGGGGGTTGCAACCCCCCAAAAAAAAAATCCGGGGACCATTTTTTTAAATCTTATCTTTTTTTAAAACTTGTAATTTTATTTTATTCTATTTCTATGTATTTATTTCATTTATTATTATTATTATTATTATTATTATTATTATTATTATTATTATTTATTATTATTATTTCTTTTTTGGGGGGAGGGGGGGGGGGGTTGGGCGAACAAATGTCACAGAGTCCCTTGCCCCCCCCCCCCCCCATCAGCTTTTTTGAGGACACGGGCCACCGCCGAAATGACAAGCTAGGCCAGCGTTGCCGATTCTCATCCCCAAAATCCCCACATTAAAAAAAAAAAAAAATTGGGGGATTGTTGAAGTCTTTGGGGATGAAAAATAAATATTTGGGAATGAAAATAATATTGAGTTTTATGAAAAACGAATTTGGGGATTTTCTGTCAAAATTTGGCAACTTTGGGGATATTTTAAGTGTCGTTTGGGTGGGGATTTTGTGAAGATTTAACCTGGCAACGCACGCTGAGCTGGGCTGCTCATTTCCTGGATTACTTGTTCAAGTTGCTCACTTTTTTATCAGTCTGGTCTGAGTGTAGTGACAAGCAATATGGAAGCAAACAGGGCAAAGAAGTTGCGGCAATCCAGTCTCGCATCTTTTTTTACTGGAAAGTATGTTTGAATCATGCAAAAAAGTTGGCATACAGGGTAAATTACCATACATGGGGGTGTAATACGGACGTGTTCATGCACTGCTTTTTATGGTCTCCATTGTGTTAATAGATGCCAGGAAAACATCACTTACGGGGTTCAAATAAACACCCCCCAAAAAAATCGGCTCGCCGCTTCGCGGCTCGTGGACGATGCTCCGCATCGTCATTATTGGTCAACCCCCCCCCCCCCCCTTAGCAAAAAGCTAGATCCGCCCCTGCACTTGGAAATCTCCTGGGGACAGGTACAGGAACCAAATCGATTACATCTTGATCAGGCGCAGATGGAAGTCAAGCATCAAAGATGCCAAAGCTTTCCTAGGAGCAGACTGTGATACGGACCACATACTGTTAGTCGCAAAGATGCAAATCAAACTGTCTAAAGTCAGCAAGATATGAAAATCAAGAAGACTGAATGCCAATTCACTCGAAGATCCCAAAACCCTACAGTCTTTCTTGAACTCATCAGAAATTAAATTCAAGAAGAATCTCTCTGAAATAGAAACTGACAAAGAATCTTCATCAGAAACTATATGGACAGTCTACAAAACAGTTCTTAAAGAATCTGCTGAAGCAACCCTTGGCAAAGCAACAAGACATGCTAAGAAGCCCTGGATTAGTAACGAAGTTCTCTTACTAGCTGAAGAAAAGAGCAAATTAAGACGGGACAAAGGTACAAAAGCCAAGGAAGAAAGGTACAAGAGTCTAAGATCAGAAACCCAAAGAAAGATAAGGAAGGATAAAGCATACTGGTTGGAAGAAAGATGTAAGGAAGTAAACGATTTCAACATAGCTGGTAAAGCCAAAGAAATGTACTCAGCTATCAAATCGGTCAAGACCAACCCCAGAGAAGTACA